GTTTGGTGGGACGGGGAATCGAACCCGCGACCCTCAGATTGTGAGTCGAGCGCCTTATCCACCTGGCCATGCCGGGCTTCTTCCTATGGTGTTACACATGAGTGAAATATACAAGTCTTTTTTTTATGGGGTTTAACCATAGTACATGAACAGTTTTGAGCATTTATAATGCTGTGATTCACTTTTACATGACAACTGAGACAAGATTATTACATAGAGAAGGTCTGGCTACTTTACTAAGACCTGCACCTATTAATGGGTTAAGCCATTTTTTGCCTAAATAACAGCCATGACATTACATAGCATCCACAGTTTGCTGGAATGTGTCCTGAGGGATTTTCCACACTCAGGGTTCACAAGTCCTTGCAACCAGGCAGTGTATATTTGTTGCAAAGGTTGATCAAACATTTGCATTTCATATCACAACTAATTATAACATGCCTGATTTACATAATAATGAACAGAGGAGGTAATTGGCATTATTTTATAACAGTGGTTTTATTGATTATAATATTACAAGTTTGGATTATCTTTTAAGTGTTTAATGCACCATACTATTAAAGTTTCTTTTTAGATACAAATTTCATGATCCCTTTTGTACTTCTATTACCAGATATTTCTTTTCAAATAAAATTGCAAAACTACTTACACAATGTTATATGAATAATTGTATAATTTAAAAATCTTTGGTGTGTTGAAATGTTACAATTATATGTTTACCTTTGTGATTTACCAATGTCATGATTCTTCATTTTCTGAACACCCCTAAGCAGAAACAGTGTAATGTAGCAAAACTTGTTCATTAGTATTATCATATTTAATACTTGAACAAAGCAAACACTCCTCAGCACAAACAGTGTGTCAAAAGTGATTTGACCTATTGATAAGTCTATGAACAGAAAAAAATTCAAGATACATGTAGTATCTAATGAATGTGCTTTTCAAACAGAAAAGTCTCAACATTTGCATACAGACAATTCATCAATATCATTTCTCTTGAAATAATTAGATTTATCTAGTGAAGGGATAAACTGACCTATTTTTTTGGTCAGATTGATGAACTGTTTCTGAAGTGTGGTCAGCTTAATTTTGATCTCTGTCGTGGAAGTTGAGTCACTGAGAATTTCACACAGTTCTTCACAAACACTCTCAGCTCCTGCCAGATGAGGTCGCTGGCTCTGCAGTTGTTCTTCCAAAACCTGTCAAAGTAAAAATTGTCATCTCATGACACATATATTATATTTTGCCATAGATATTGTACTCTTAGTTTATTAAACAACACAATTAACAAATCAAACATCTAATTTCCAGGATACTCACAACAGAAAATAAATAAACACAATAGTGCAGTTTTATTCTGCATAACAGTTGACTCCAATCAACTTTACAAACATCTAGTAATTGAATCTTTAAATATTTTTTTTCTTGATCACGTTACTTTAGATTTGTTGTTTGTGTGGCATTACACCACAATAAGACTCATAATAATTCTTAGCAAATTTTTATTTACTGGTCCTGTATGAGTTTCCAGTAAAAGATTACACTTCACTGGCACAAGGTATTACATACCAAATAACTAATATTAAGTTACTTTTATTTGAAAACTAAATCATGCATAACGACAATTCTTGAAAACAAGATGCCTAAAAATTAACGTGGTTACATTCATCAACTCATAAACATAATGTAATTATTCATGTCAGTAATGTAATGTAATGACTTACATTTAGTGTGTTCAACAACTCCACTATGTCAACAGAGCTTTGAAATAGTTGATCAAAGTTATCACTGATATCAAGCAGGTGCATCTGTATTTTAGTCAACGTGTCATGAAATTCCTTAGTGACACCACATGCAGCATCTAAGCTCTTTTCACGATCAGACAACTTATTAAGTAGATCATCCCAGAGTCGGTGAATGGTCATCATCTGGTCACTAACTTTAGCATCTGCTGGTGTGGCTGAATCAAGACTCTCAATTATTACTTGACCTGAGCTGTCTAAACGATCCAAGAGTGGTTGTTGACACTTAAATTCATCTCTCATGACCTGTTTAAAGATTTAAAGGAAGGATTTTCTTTCTATTGTACAGTTGTTGTTGTTTTTGTAAAGATACAATATTGGTATCATAAAAAAGTGGTTTCAAGTGAATATCATATTCACAGGTGAATCAATCTTTCTGTTTACACATTTATAGTTAAGATTTGTAATAAGCTTTACACATAGTTGTGCTTGTAGATGATATTCTTATACTGGATAACAAGGTTTTCCAGACACAGCCAATCAATTTATCCACCAGAACTTATTCCGGAAACAAAGTACAATAGATGGATTTATATATCAACATGATTTATAGTTTTCAATAAACTGGATATTTCCAAGTTACAAACTTTTCATTCTCAAATAGGCATATTCCAAATACATTATATTACACTGTTTACTATTCTAAGCTTATTAGGTACAATAGAACTTACTGAAATTGTTCATAAACAACATTTCTCAAAATACATTTTAAACATCAGATTCTATGGAAAATATAACAATAATCTTTCTAGAGATTATGGTTTCCGAAGTTTTACAGAGTATCATGACTTTTAAAAATTTTCATACCTACACATCAATTTATTTTGATATTATTTAGTGTAATAGTGGACTACTTAAATATACTAACCACCATTGCTTTTAACTCCTGTTCAATTAAGTTCTTATTATATATGGTCAACATTAGCTATATAACAATTCCATATATAATATGACATCTCTTTATTAGTGTACTTTTTGATGATTATTTTCTTGGCCATATTAATGACTGTTGTAATTTTCCTTTCTAAGCCTTATTATTTTCATTGAACTTTTTAGAGGCTTATCATTATTGTATTTCCTTTTTAGCTTTGACAGAAGACTTAATATTATTTAATATATTGAAAGTGATTATATTTTAATTTTTACTTTTATCATAGAGATTGCTAGCTTAATATGTTCATTTAGGACAAATCTAAAACTCCTTTGACTTGTGAGAGACAAAAGGTAGATCAGAAATGCTATTTTTACACACCTCTCATTTTGAATCCAAAAAGGAGAAATTAAAAGGAATGTGGAAACATCTGCAGTTTACTTGATTTTTATTACAAATTTTTTGTCTATTGGTACCTAATGTTTTGCCAGCTTTCAACATTTAAACCATAATTCTGAAAATGTTATAGCAAGCAGTTATACCTGAACCTGCTGCATCTGAGAGGTAACCATACGTGGCTCGGAAGCAATCGGCCCAAGTACTTGTAACATCTTCTCCTTTTGAGTCAGCCAGCTAGTCAGTATATCGTGAGTATCCTGGAAATCTTTATATCCCTGAAGCAGATCTATCTGTTCTTTAACAAACTTTCTTAGTTCTGTCCAACGAAGTACTATAGGGAAAAACCTTTACATAATATATCTTAAGAAACTTTGACAAAATTTATTAGACCTTGGTTTTAAGTCTTAAAAGTTCATGTGCAACACAATAAGATTAGTCCATTTGGTGTTTTAAAAATCTGATACAGTATGAGATTTTAAACAGGTTTTTTACAAACTAGTTCAGTAATAGTTTCTACACATTGATTCAGTATGAGGTTTTAAACACTAGTCCAAAATTAGGTTTTCTCATATTTGATTTAGTATGAGGTTTTAAACACTAGTCCAAAATTAGGTTTTCACATATTTGATTCAGTATGAGGTTATAAACACTAGTACCTAAGGATATTTTTACATACTACTTGTTTAGAAGGTCTGATGAATTAATTAGATTTTATGGAACCAATTCATCTACTAGTGGAAAGCTATATAAGAAATACTTACATAGTTCACTTATCTGGTCTCTAAGTCCCTCTGAGCCAGGTATATTTTGTCTTTTCTTGAGAAGATCTTGTGTTTGGGTTTTTACTCTATCCATATCTGGTTGTTTATCAAGGACTTCTTCCTGTATTGTCTGGAAGAGTAAGAGATGATTATAAATCAGATGTGGAGAAGCTTTATTACAAACATAATGTTTCAAGCTAATAATTGTGTTTCTTTTTTGCATGTTATTCACAAAATGCTTAAGAAAGTTGTTATTAAGTTCTAAATAAATTTATGGTCTATCAACTGTTTTAATGCAAATCTGTAGAAAGAATTTCTTACAGATAACAACTACAAATGGTCTGTGAATAGTTTGAGTGATAATTTTGAGAAATAATTCCTTACAGGCAAAAACTACAAATAGTGTGTAAACTTTAGGGAAAGGTTTCTTACAAGTTACAACTACTAATGTCTGTCGATTGTTGACATGAGAATTTGGAGAAAATATTCTTTACAGATAAGAACTACTAATACCTTCAATACCACAAGATAGTTCCCAGCTTGATTCTTGTTTTCAGGAAGAACCTCTTTAGGTAATTGTTTTTCTTTTGCCTTAACAAATATCAACAGAATTTTCATAGTTTCTAGATGGCGCTTCATGTCTTCTATTAAAGTTTTAATCTCATGGTGACGGTCAGACAACTTCACACCCAATAGATTGTATCGATTATTGATCTCGGATAGCTGATGTTGGACTGGAGATAAGTCTGGGAAAAAATAACAGTACAGAAAATTGGAGCATTATCACTGCTTTTAACAAAATTTCAAATATAAAGAGAGTTTAAGAACTAACAACAGTACAGAATAATTCTATCACAACATAATATTGATTTCTGAAATTTAAGTGAAATTACAATCAAAACAAATATAGGTATTAGGTTTCCTCTAAACTCTTTTCAGGTCTAGGTCCATTTAAACCAAAAACAGTACTATAAATATCAAATATTTCTTTAGGCAATAACATTCTAACTATAAATTTTCATATTACTGAAATTTTAAAGGTAAAATTTGATCAAATACCTACTCCTATGTTATCTGCGGAGCTAAAACCTACCTTCTACTCCTATGTTATCTACAGAGCTTTGTTGACTACTTGATATATTGGACTGAGGATTCTGAATGAACTTGGACTGTACTGGGGACTGGACACTGGTTGAACGTTGAATTTCTAGAAATGAACACAAAAATAAGGTATAATGTGTTTCTTCATGATAACAATATATTTAGATATAATGTGTTTCTTCATGATAACAATATATTTAGATATAATGTGTTTCTTCATGATAACAATATATTTAGATATAATGTGTTTCTTCATGATA